GATAGAGGAGGAGAATATGTGGGAAGTATGATTCAAGCCATGTTGGAGCACTTTTCCATCAAGGCTCGAGTGACCACTTCCTACAAACCTAACGCTAACGGGTTGGCGGAGCGGACCAACTACACTTTGTGTATGATGTTGGCCAAGGATGCAGACATGGACGGGAGTAAACACAATTGGGACAAGAGGCTCCATGCTATCTTATGGGAGTATCGCACAACATGGAAGACATCTACCGGATACTCACCTTTTCGGATGGTGTATGGAGTTGAGTCAAAACTTCCCATACAGTTTGACTTGACAACATTCACAACAATCCAGCAAAGGTTGAAGAAATCAAATGGAGCAGAAGCCATCAAGTCTCGCCAACAACAATTGATGGAGTTGGAGGAAGCTCGAGCACTAGCCATGGTACGAGTGGAGCGGGCTCAACAGTTGCAGAAGAAGTATCACGACAAACGAAGTGGAAACCAGAACTTGAAGCCGTTCAAGGAAGGTGATTGGGTGATGCTCTTTGATGCAATTAGATACAAGAGAGCTAGGAAAAAGTTTCTTCCTAAGTATTTTGGACCTTTCATAGTAAGTAAGGTGTGGGGAAATTTCACTTATGACATCAAGGAGTTAGGAGGACGTCACTTCGATCGAATCAACCACGACAAGTTGAAGTTATTCCATCGAAGATCAGATTCTTTCACTCCGAGGGCGTAGTGAAATCTTGGTCCGGGGGTAAATGTAAGACCGGGTGTTGCACATATGTACTAAGTCTTAGAAGTGGTCAAGGGAATAAGGATGATTAGCCAAGGCATAGCTAAGACTAGCTAGTTATGACTAAACTAGTTAGTTATAACTAAGTTTATCTAGTCATGACTAAGTTTAGCTACAATGTTTATAGTTGGCGGAATAATTAGCGGAGTTCTAGGAGAATGGAGTGAGCACTTCTATTTTGTCTTTTACAAGGAGTGAGCACTTCTATTTTGTTTTATACAAAAGTTCTAGATTCCAAGGGATTAGATATTTGACTAGAAGCTTGGATTTGATTGGTTTGACTAAATGTATGAAAGATGATTGGCTAGACTAAGTCTAATGTTGACTTAGTGGCTAGGAAGCTTGTAGAAGTTTAAAAGCTTCCAATGGCATGTCGCCACCTCAACCTTGGATTCCGGAAGCTTCTAGAAGGTTTAGGTAGGCCAATGGCATGTTGTCACGTAGAGAAGGTTAGTCAAACTTACCTAGGTAAAAGTAAGTTAGGAGAAATTACCACATGTTACTATGGTAACTTCTCAAGTAGTATAAATAGAGAGGTAGAGTAGCACCTCTCAAGCAAGTTTGGAGAGTCATGTGTGAGGACTTGTTTCAGTAATGAAGGAGTGAAGTTTTTGAGTATCTTGGAGTATCGACGTGTGTTTGCATTTATGTGAAGAGGGTGATGTGAGGAGAGTTTGTGTGTGAGTTGGAGTGATACATGAGAGTTTGTAAGAGAAGGTGTTTGGGACATGAGTGAGAGTATGAATCTTAGTCTTCTAGAACCATGATGCGCTACCACAAAGCCATCAGAGGTAAACCTGAGTGAGAGTCAGCCCGGAGGTTGCAGTACCGTGCATCCTCCGAGCATCCTCCGAGTCGAGCACTGCAGTATTTCTGGGAGTGACAGTCGCCTAGAATTCAAACTCTACAAAAGTTTGTTAAACGTGACACTTTTACTCTGTGTGTTGCCTCTGTCCCTGTGGGTTTGATCTTTTTACCACCATACTGCAGTTTTAGCCTTTGGTGGGTTATAACATAAGGAGCCGACAACTTCTTTTTACAATATCCATCAACCAGAAAGATCTGAACTTCAAGCATTGCCTACGACTTCTACTACGACGTCTAATGTTGCTGCAACCTCCACTGTCTCAGACATTACTCTTCCACGACAAAACCCTTCAAGGATGCGTCGTTTATCTGCTCATTATGACAATTATTACGTCTCTGCATCTCATCAACTCAATGTGGTTGAGACAACCAAACCAATCACATATCAGCTTTCATTCCAACAAGCAAAGCTTCATCATGACTCGTGGAAAGCAATGCAAGAGGAATTCGACGCTCTCATTACGAATCACACGTGGGAACTTGTTGAACTTCCTGAAGCCAAAAAGGTGTTGACTTCACGTTGGATCTACAAAGCAAAACCAGAGTTAAACCCCACACGGACTCGTTTGAAAGCTATGCTTGTTGCTCGTGGCTTGGAGCAAACGTATGGAGTCGATTACAACGAGACGTTTGCTCCTGTGGTTTTTTGGTCTACTCTTCAAGCAATGATAGCATTATCTGTCACTCTTGGTTGGACTTTGCATCACATGGATGTTATCACTGCCTTTTTGAATGGAAAACTAAAAGAACAGATCTACATGCAGCAACCTCCAGGCTTTGAAGAACCAGGAAAGGAGCACTTGGTGTGCTTACTTAAAAGGTCTCTTTACGGGCTCAAACAATCTCCTCGTCAGTGATATGAGGAGATTGACACATACCTTCGTTCCAACAAATGGATCAAAAGTCAGTTAGATCCTAACTTATACTTTCTACGTAGAGATAAAACTATCACTGTACTTTTACTCTACGTTGATGACTTGCTAGTTTTTGGTGATAGTTTTTCTCGTGTTGCTGAGATCAAATCTCAACTTAGCTTACGATATAAGATGAAAGATTTAGGTAGGGTCTCTCGGTATCTCGGAGTTGACGTCGTGCCCACCACTACTGGCGGGATTTTTTTACATCAAACAAACTACACCACGGCCTTACTCAATGAGTGCAACTCGGACATTGAATCGATTCCGCTTCCAATTGATCTTGTTCTCGAGGCAGATACAAGTACTCCACATGTTGATGGCTCAAAATATTGTCACTTGGTTGGCAAGCTTATCTTACTTTGTTACACTCGACCTGATATTTCATACGCTGTTAGACTTCTCAATCGGTTTATGCATAAACCACAAATGGCTCATTGGGATGCAGTTCTACATCTACTCCGATACCTCAATGGCACTGTGAACTATGGCTTACTTTACCAGAAAGGAAACTCACATATTCAAGGCTATAATAATGCAGATTACCTTAGTTGTCCTAACACCCGTCGATCCGTTGGAGCTTATATGTTTAAGCTTGCAAGCGGCCATGTATCTTGGTCATCGAAGCAACAACCCACAGTGTCTGATAGCACGACTGAAGCTGAATACAAGGTCTTATCAGAAGGGGGCAAAGAGTTTGTGTACCTCAAAAGGTTAATACAAGAATTGGGAATCCTTCCTTCTCTGAAGATTCCAATTTCTTGTCCTGATTCTACCATAGTTCAGAGTTTAAGAGATGCAGCTATACCGACCATTGCAGATTTGCACCTATTTTGCGACAATCAGAGTGCTATTAAGCTAGCCAAAAACCCTGTGTTCCACGCCAAGACCAAGCACATCGACGGCAAACACCATTTTATTCGAGAAAGAGTGTTAGAGGGAGAAATTGACCTCAAGTACATTCACACAGAGGAAAACCCTGCAGACTTACTCACCAAGTCACTACCAAGACATAAATTTGAAAAAAATAGAAAATCTATTGGAGTATGATCTTTATCTGATATTCAAGCTGTCTCTTTAGAACATTAGTTTCCAATGCTCTACCCTTAGAATTTTCCGGTACTACCCTTCGAGAGTGGATGTTGTTAGTAATTAGTTACCGAGTGTAGTATAGTGATCAGGATTAGGATAGGATAAGATCAGAATAGTTTAGGATAATGTTCTGTTAGATCTCTTGTGTCTTCTTCTGTGGTAGATACCCTTCTCGACCATCTTATCCCTTTGCTACTTAAGGTACCTCTCTCTCTCTAATCTATCATCGAGTTTAGATTTTACTTTCAACATCTTCATCGTGCAAGAGCCCAATTCTTCAGGTACCAGAATGATTTTACAGTTATAATGTATGGGCGTAATCTACTTACTCCTTACTTTTTTTTCTAGAACTCTTGGCCAAAGTCACGTAATTTGCGTATTTTGGTCCCCGAAGTGCATGCGGGGAGAAGTCACTTTTCAACAAAGAGCCGCAGTGCTTCTACTAACCCGGATTGAAAGCAATTACAAGAACTCGCAGTAGAACATCGGTGACGGTAGACTGAACTGTCGTCGGAAGGGTCCATCGGGTAAAATAGAACATATTGGGTCCCATCAAGCAATCAGCGTTCTGATGGGGTACCATCAAGCAAATTTCTCATGTATTTGCTAGTCTACCTTTTAAGTATAAAAATTTCATTTTACTACTTGATTCCTATTCTATGAGCAAGTACATGTGAATTTGCTAAAAAAAAGGTTACTTATAAATTTATCAGTTACTTGTGCAAAGTTTTTTGATAATATGAAAGAAAAAAGAGCTTTTCTTTAGATAGACATATTTATACATATTTTATTTTTTAAATAGATGATATATGAGAAAAAATTAAATCAAAAGATAATTGATGCTTATGTGGTTAGAGAGATCATTTGAGGTTGAAATGCAATAAATTGTCTTGAAAATATCCAGATGTTTTTTAAACTAATTTTAAACATGAGAAGCACTAAAGTGTGATGAGAAAGAGTATATAGACAATTTTGTGGAGGAATTTTAATAAGATGATTTGAACAACATTGAGTTTTGGGAGAAAATATGAGAAAATGAGATGTCGTGGTTTGTACTTAGATTCAATATGTAGCTCTCATATGAGTTATGAGAGTTTTAAGTTTCAAAGCATGAAGGTGTTGAGATGTGTAGAAAGTGGAAATGTTGATGAATCTCTGCTTCTTGCAATGGGAAAGTCAACGTTGTTTTTGTTGGAGGAGAAAACAAGTACAAAGAGCCTACCGGAAAAGTGGAGTTTATAACTGGCTTTGTAGGAAATCCTTGATGTGAGTAAGCAAGCACAGAATTGCAGGTTCTGATGTTCAAAAATATGAGATAATGGACAGCTCTTCCTAAGAGCCCGTCCTGTCCTGTGATTTCAGACAAGCACTGATATTTGAAGATTTGGGTGTGATTCTTGCGAAAGCAATCTTGGTTCCTTTCGCTATTCTTTGGGTCCCAGTTTCCAGAGGTTCACCACTGCTGCGTGCAGCTGGATCTTTTCCTGAGCATGCCTTAAAGTATCTCCCTTGGCGCGGCATCCTCGCTCAGACATAGCTCACAGCATTGCCTTCATAATCAGCTGGCCTGCTACTAGTCACACATCGACGGTGAGTGAAAGCAATACCCAGAGACTAGCCATCCGGAAAAGTCGCCAGTCTTCTTTGCTTCTTATTTTCTGCGGGTATGAGGCTAGTGAATTAGAAATACAGCTTGGTGCATGCGTTCTGAAAATCTACAATAAATGTCGAGCAAGCAGGAGGGTGTGTCCGAGCCTTATTGGAATTGATATACACGGGCCTGGCCGATTTATCTTCACTTTTTTTGGAACAGCTTACTTGTAACGAGTTGCTATCGTATATGCAGCTGCGCAGGTGGCCAACTGGAAACAAACGATTTGCTCCATTTCCTGCGTTTGTAGCGTTTGTGGCTGGAGTCAAAGTACTGCTATTGTCCCTGAGAAATCGAAAATAATAATAATAATAATCTGTTCTTCATTGTCCACCACCTATACCTTGTGTTTCTCGTACTCTTCGCCTTACACGGTGTTACACAGATGCACTTTGGGGTGATTCCAGCTCTCTTCTTTTGGCCCTGGATCGATTCATGCGCATGTTGCAATATCGGAAGTCAGTCGATGTGTTGTCGATGAGAATACTATCGGCCAATATTTTGAGACTGATGTTTGCTAAGTCCGACTCTGAGTTTCCAACCCTATCTTTACTTCTGGGTGAGTGAGTGCCGACATTTAACGATCGGACACTATGTTCTCATTGCTTCTCGTGTTTTGATTCCGTATTTTATACAGCAGCGTGCCCTGGCTGTGAGTCAAAAACTTGTTCGCCGTAGAAAATCTGGCCCCTGGGTCTTCAAGGTCACAATATTACTGATGCGCGAGAAGTATGTTGTATGGTGAAGCAGATCTGACCTACTATCCACTGGTCATCTGTTTCTTCAACTAACAAGTTCCTTGAGTTGAATGGCACCCTTTCAGCACAGCTTCAAGCCCTGTCGAGAAACATTATCAGATCGGCATATATATCAAGCCCCTGATAGTGTTCGCCAAGCAGCTGGATGATGTTCTGATCGACCATAAGCAGCACAAGGATGCGAATAAGCTCAAGTGTCCATTCAACTTCAAGCTCGCTGTAGAGGGTCCTCACTGAGGATAATCAATCTTTTACTTCAAGCACGTCATCTTCTTCCTCTCAAACATCCTCAGATTTCTATTACGTAGAGAATACTTCTGCTTTGATTTATGTCCTACTCTACATTATGTCTTTTTCGATACAGGACCATTACACTTCTAAAGAAATACCTTCAGATGACTCATCTATGCTTCTACTACCTGGCTGCGTCAGGTTTAACTCCTTGGTCCTGATCGCAGGAGTAATTGGTGTGAATACACACCTGGCAGTACTTTGAGATGTTCTAAATCGCTACGGTCAAGCGTCTAGAGATAAAGCTCATTTTTGTGTCAGAACTACGAAGGATCTGATATTCTGGACACGTTAAACCCTTCGAAAATCTTCTTAGATACTGAAGTACTTGGATACATTACGACCGCACCAGGTGCTAAGAAAATGCGACGAGGTAGCAAAAATCAGCAATCATGGGCACCTTAACTTACGAGGACTACAGCTACACGTATATGAAGGAATCCCCTGTACAGGATTAAGGACCGCCGCTCGATGTGGTCAAAGGTGTTTCGATATTGTTGGGCACAAGAATTAACCCCTGGGCCTCAGCCACTATATTCGCCACAATCATGGGTTTCCTTTTTCTACATGCTATGGTCAGCTGCTATTTATTGGTGGACAGGATCTCCACTATAGGGGAAGTGATGCTTTACTTCGCATGCATGCTATTGTCCGTGCTCATATTTGGAGGAGGATCCATACACTTGCGGTCTCATACTTTAACCCATAGAAGGGAACCAGATTCGAAGAAAAAGATTAAGCAGCTGGGACTGATGTTCAAATTACTGAAACTGTACCTCGATGGACTCCCTTCACCCATTATCTCATGTTTTCGAAGGTTTACTTAAGAAGAGTTGAAGTGGGCACCTACTCCTCGAATGGCACCGGACATTGAAGCCGGAGCTCCATAGCATACATCGAGGGACGGTGGTGGATGGTAAGAAAACGAACTGGCAGGGTAGGCATAATTCAAGACATCTCTAGGATAGACAAAGGCGAATCTGCTCTACTTCCTCTCCCGAGTTATGAGTCCCATGCCCTCAGCTCCATTTGCCACCACAGTCAGATATTGTGTCGTCTGTCCACTAGCTGCAGAGACTCACGGCTGTATGCGTTGATTATATGAATGACAGATCTTTGTGACAAGATGACGAAGCAGTACGGAAAACAGGACGCTGGAGTTTCGGTTTCGGGTCATGAAGGCATGCGGAGACTAGACACCACCCAGTGTAAGCATCCGTCTTACTAATGTTCTCGTCTTCTACAATCATTCTGTGAGCTTCCAAATGTGAAGAGAAGACGAGCCATATAGAAAGAAGAGCCGTGAGGCTCGAAAGTACCCCGGCTGTTTTTCTGAACCACTGGATCTGGGACTATAGTACAGAGTGGTGGCGCCCTGTAATTCTTTGAAACGGTGTCATGTACAAATGAGTCACGTGCTTACAGCCCATACACATGTATCATATCCATATCAAGTATGGAGGACGAGACTACACACTACGTGTATTTAAGACTAGATCCGGATCCGACAGATTCTCAAAAACTGTAAATCTGGGAAGCCATTTTCATGTTTGTAAGCCAAAAAAAAAGAAAAAGCTCTCGTACGTCTGAAGGAGGTATTGTAACAAATGAGATAAAGTGGGTTCCAAACGCTTCCAATTCATGAATCTTAATATCTATCATGCGACTAGCCCACCTTGATAAGTCTAACCTCGTTTCTTACGCTGCGGTATCATATAGAATTGGTTGTACAGGTTCAATGTCTTCCACCTTCGTGATAAGATACACTTTGTAATGTGAATTCGCATGCAGAAAATTGGCATTCACTTCAACCGATCACTCTACTCGCGAGTTTCACACGAGCCGCTCAATATCAAATGATGTAGAAATGAAGAACAGGAAAAGGGTTTTGCCGCAATTCTAAGAACAAACCCTCGCGGGTCATTTCCGAAAAAGGTACAAGAAGCTGAACTAAAGAACTAGGCAACCACCCAGAGATCCTCTGCGTACCTGGAAATCCGGTGGACATTGATAAAGGTACGACTCTTACAACGTGAGTGAGTGAGAACTCGAGTAAAAAAACAAGTGGAAATCCTTCATGGGTATTCAGTTGCCCTTAAGACAGCCCAGCAACGCCTTATTCCACAAAGGTGCCCGGTCCTTCTCACTTACAAATTTGCTCTCTCCAGATAGACTAGCTTAGCATTCACGAGCGCAACAGTACATGAACTATCGGCATCGCCGCCCTCTTAGGAGCTCGAAATTCGTTCCAGTACCTTCATTCATATGGATGCCTTCAGTTTTTTGATCTCAACCGGCCTGTCCTGTCCACCCACCATCAGTCTATTTAGGTGCAGGTCCTTCCACCCGCTTCAGTAGACTTACAAGTGGAAATCGGAATCCAACATCATCCGCTGGTTCCCCTAATGTTATGCTTTTAAGTCTCTTTTCACATGCCGTCAATCAAAACAGCTCTTCTCCGCGATGGATGCTAAACTCAAACACCAATGCTGTATATCTCTGCCTTGGATCATGAGCTGAGGGAAGAAAGTTTCAATCAACCATTAGTCTTTAAAGATTTGAATCTCAAGAATATTTTTCCCGATGGTTGTCCATACTTTAAGGCCCGTTTCACTTAAGAAAGGACCATGTTAGTTACCAGGTAGTGATACCATCATTACTCCATTATCCAAGAATCTCATCACAGAATGAGCCAAATAATTTTTTAAACCATCTGCACAGACATACAAAGCAACAGGAGATTCGTGAAAACATTCCTCAAACAACCAAGAGGACCCTTTATCCCAGATTTCAGTGAAGCTAACTGTCCTGAATAACATCATTTGACTTTTCCCATCTCTTCATCATCAAGTGCAGTGTAGAATATATAAGTGTCTTGTGGTGACACTGGTGTAGAGAGACCTGGCGTTTTCTACAATATGCAGGACCAGAGTTTGAATGATGGTCGTTGCTAAAGGTAGCTCCATCATCACAAACACCAACATGAAAACTTGAATACATTCGTCTTGACAGACACGATGGCAGAGGCTGATTCATGCAGCACAGAGAGGTCGCCTTTAAAAGTCAAAGGTGAATTGCAGCTCAGAAGGCATTGACGGCAAAGAAAAGCCAGTACCAAACCAGTCCACAATACTCTTAACCATAGTCACTTGTGATCGTCCTTGCTTCTTAAAAAATTTACAGCAGAACAAACCCGGGCGTTTAACTATGACTACAAAAAGTTTTCTCCTCGTTTTAGTGTCAAGGGCCTAATCTCCTCTGGATATCGCGGGAGTGGTGCGGAAAATGAAGCAAGGCTTTTCAAGAGATGTAGGCCTGTGCTGCTGACTCTAGGCCCCATACATTCAGTGCTCAACATATACTCTCTAGGTTACTTTTTAAAAGGTACAAGGAACTATAGTCCTAGCACAAGCTTTCTACAACATAATGGTCGCATTAAGCTGTGTCCCGAAGATCTAATCGTGCAAGTAGTGATACAAAGATAAATGCCGACAAATTTTACACATCTACCATCTCCTTAGTGCGGCTCACGTTGACTTTCTCGTAGTGGTCTTCCTCTTTAAAAGCTGTCGGTGAATAAATTTAACACAGCATTGCTTCGAGGGCAGTATCTCTACCTCCTGATGTCAAAAAACAGGCGCATGGGGATGTCCCTAAGACGGAGTCTTTTAGAGGCCAGATATTGCTTCACCGTCAAAACTGCTATCAAATGTCTCTGGGCTAGTCCCTGCAGAGAAACAAGAGAACATCAGAATATGAACGAATCGGGTCAGAGCACTTTACAGTGCTACATTGATTCTTCAAGCGGAAGGATGGGAGCAGAGACTTCCACAAACTTTCATGGTTACGAGTTGTTCTTCATGGACTCGTTCCAGAAGGTTTCTCAAGGAGTGAAGCGAACACAATCCAAGGAGCTTAAAATGTAAAACAGATTATGATTCGTAGCTGCAATACGGTCCTTGGCATGCTCAACTTTCTCTTCGTACGCTCTTCAAAAACTGAACCTGAATCTAGAAGCCTACGAAACTGATATCTATTGGCGTATGCAAGATGCGGCGTGCGAAGATGTGAAGTGGACGCTCAGACTTCGTTCTTTAAATTTAAAGCAGCAGTTAAACTGATTCTCGGACAGAATCAAGCTAAGGAAAGAGAAAACAAGAAAGACATATGACACCTCAAATCGCCATACATACAAAGAATAGACCAAGCGACCACGCCTAACGCTCGTCGAGTCCGGTCGCAATCACTTACCAATATTTGATCAACCCATCCCATCCACAGGTGGCCACCTTGCTTTGTTCCAGAGGATGCCATTCAGCTCCTATGCAAACCCCTTCGTGGCACTTCAAAGTGCGGAACACCTTGCACGTCTTCCAGTCCCAAAACCAACACCTTCCTTCACCATCCCCTGACATGATAAATCGCCCATCTGGAGAAAAATTCACCTGACACGCATATCCAGCAACGATATGACCGGCGAACCTCTTCTTCTTGTTCAGTCGGAACCTTTCCCTCGTACTGTAAATCAGAATCTGATTATCCAGACTTTGTGCCGCGAACCAATTCGTATTCGGATGCACAGTTATAGATGGCATGGAGTGCATGTGGGGTTCGCTGATGTACTTAATTACGACAGGTATTCCGAACTCCCAAACCCTCAAAGATTTGTCATCACTGGATGTCACAAACCTTCGGTTGTTATCCACAAAAGTGATAGTGTTGACGGCACCCAAGTGCTGATCATACTCCTGAGTGATCTCTCCACTATTCATATCCCACTGCACTATTTTCTTATCACTCATGCCTGCAAGCAACACCGTCTGCTTATCGTCGTCGGGATTGAATTTCACTACGTAAGGAATCTTTCCTGTCGAAAACGATGATATGACCTTGCCAGTTTCAGTGTCCCAGTATTTGATTTTCCTGTCGTAACTGGCGCTCAAAAATTTCGAACCATCGTTGTTGAAGGCAATGTCTCTGACAGCCTTGGAATGACCCATATACGTTCGCATACACTTCCCACTGCCATGAACATCCCAAATCTTCACCTTCGTGTCCATACTCGCGGACAGAAGCAAGTGCCCAAACTTGGGGAAGAAACGGATAGCCGATACACCCTTCGTGTGCCCACTCCACGTGTGTACCCACCGCTTCGGAATGTAGCAGTGATCATTAGTAGCCTTGACGTCTTTAGGCGGCGCAATCCACGAACGGCCCTGGTAGTCGTATTCATCCTTTCCGTGAAAAGTACTCTTGTCTTCAATCTCGATCTTCTCACCCTTTTCCCTATCGCCCTTTTTGCCAGCATGCTCCTCGGCATACTTCTTCTGCTCCTCAGTGAGCTCCGCTTGCAAACCCTCCTTCTTTCCTGCCCAAGGACTCTTCGAGTTCTTGAGCAACCAATCCTCGGACTCAGGATTCTCCACTGTCTCCTCATCATGGTCAGCCTTGTTCGCGGCTTTCTTCTCAAGCTTTCGCTTTCGATGCTCGTGCGAGGGTAGGTTGTAAACGGAAGCACCATCCAGCTTTTTCACAGCTTCCAAGTCACCGACGACATGATTTCCGATGGAGGCAGCGGGGTCCGCCGCATAGCCGTACGTGTGGAATGTGTTATATTGCTCATCGAACATAAACGAAGCTATTGAGGCGTCCTCCACAAACCCTAGCTTGTGATTTCTAAGACCCTGCGCAATTCCGTCCTTGGCAAACGGGTGGGCCGGACCGACGATGGGGGTCCACAGCTGATCATAAGTGGGGTTGTAATTCACAGAATGCTGAGATGGATCGATGGGCTTCCTCTTCTCGGGCCCGAATTTACTCCCGGCCGATGAGGACACCAGCAGCATATCACTCACCTCCGGAGCAGCAGACTTACGCGGGACCATCAACCTCAGGGGAGATCCTTCTTCGCTGTCCTCCTCCTCATCGTCGCTCCGGCCCTCGCCGCCCTGCGGCCGAATCATATCCACTTCCATGGAAGAGCGCCCGGAAGTGGTCGTGGTCGTCGCCCCGTCATCATTCTCGGCGCCGGTGACAGAACTTCTTCGCTCCGCCTCGTCCTCCTCCTCGCTCCCATCGTCGTAACCGGCGAGCAAATCCATGATCGCTCGCTCGCTCGCTCGATCACCACCACGAAACCCTTCTGCTGGAGATTTTTCTCGGAATCCGAAACCCCTCCCCTCCCCTCCCCGTCCCGTGCCCCTTTCGCTTGGTTCGGAGAAATGTGGCTCGTACTTTCCCTCGTGAAAACGCTCAGCGTTGCTGTCGTCGTCGACTGTTTGCAGCCTTGGCTCGTTCCTCCCGCTCAAGTCCAAGTCCGTCTAGAGTTCGAGTTGGCTTCAGTCCACTGAGTCTTCCTTCCTTCCTTCCTTAGGGTTGCGGACACGTCCGAGCTTCTGATGTTTGATCTGATACTGTCTGTACGAGTAACCGGCATTGCCCCTTCCGTCAAAGGCGACTACGTCAGGACTTTCATCAGCCAGCATTGCCATAAATTAGACTTGACCCTCATTCGTCAAAAGTACTCGTCATAAAAAAATCAATTCAATTGACCTTGAATTTTGAAATTAAGAATGGTTGCTGTTCAACGATTTAAGACGAATGGTGATTGAAAAAAGCCTTGAAATTTTAGTACGAGAACATTGATAATGTTACATTACAAAAAATTTCTATTCAAATTTCATTTTCTCCATTTTCTCGCTTCGAAACTAATTTACGACAAGATTAGCTAGTTAATGCTTAGATGTATAAATGAATCAATCAGTAATCATATACAATCTTTCTTTCAAAGTAAAATTTTGAATCATCTTATATGAAAATAATAAAAACTGCTTGGAATAGATAATACTAAATTATTATGTTTACAAAAAATATAATATAACATAAATCTTATCAACATATAATCATCCCATTTCTTAAAGAGAAAAAGTATCTCAATATAGGAAAGTAAATAAGTAAATTTTCGATATTAGTACCCCTAGTATGAGTTAAACTTGGAACTGTTATAAAGTTTTCAAAGTCTTATTTATTTATTTTTATATATATATTTATATTTATATAGTCTACTATTCAAGATCTCAAAGTTTTAAATGTTTATATGGATCATGATACTACAAGAGAGTATCATACAAGCAGTGATGTTGCCATATAACCTACTCATGAATGAATTCACAACTTGTCGTGTTAAGTAAATGAAGATACACGTTGCAAATTTTAACCCATACAACCCCTACAGTGATCATACCTTTAAGTTATCGATCTTTACATGTATTGGACGTAATATTCAATACAAGTTTGGATTATTGCTCTGTACATGGCTCGAGGGAAAATCTACGTATTTGTTCTATTTGTCGAACACAATGTATCTATACGTTAATGTGCTTCACATTCACACATTCTACTATCAGTGTGCTTTTGAGATGGTAGCAGTAAGATTTTCCACCGTCCGATACTGTACTTTGCTCAGGTGCAAGACATAGTTACTTAGTATACAGCTCTATCGAGATGTTTTCACCTCACGCTCCTTACCTTCTGACGAATCGCGCCCTTGTAGTAAATCGACGTTTTCCGAGCTCTCATCACAGATATGATATTAGAATCATATCATTGAGTTCCGGACTCTGATTCTACCTCCTGAGGTACTAATTTCCGCCTCTGAGAAGTTCCAAATCTTCCTCTCTACTGCACATTTACTTCGACAACAGTGTGCACAAAAGGGATCATCTTTACATCCACTAGGACATGTTCGGAAATTTGAAACTGATGTTCTGGCACTAAATCCATAGGTCTACTGCTCATGTTGCATGCTCCGGGACAATAGTACTTCGATCTCTAGAATCGACAGCATTTCCGCTCCAGCATGTTCTCAAGGGTTGCACTTCCGGGGGTCGATCAACATTAGAATCTATCAACATGCTGATGCTGAGTGTGGTCAGAGGACATGTCAAAGACAGTAGCATCCATGTCGAAGTGGCAGAAGAAGAGAGTGATTGAACATCAACAGAAAGAAAAAAAATGCACATTGCGTCGACTTTCCATCGATCATTCGTACTGAGGAAACACCCGGGTTGTAGCACTTCACTTGTACACTCTCAGGCAACCCTTGCCCTGAAAAGGGTGCAATCCCTAAGAGACTGATCTACCTATTCTGAATTTTATCTACTCTCTAAATTTGTAAAATCTGCCAGCCGTGGGTATAGTTTTCCCGCACTTGGCTTCAGGGAAGAGCGCCCAGAAACGCTAATTGGTACGTCTACAATTTTGACCACTTTGACGGTCGGATAATACGTTGTGATGGACCTCGCCTAATAACTGCTTCTCGGGACACGCTGTTGCCCATAAATCTGAAGCTGTGATGGGCTAGCCTGATGATCGTGAGATCGCGGTATCTTCGAATACGCTGTCCTGAGTTTCGATGGTTCGCTGGGTTGGATAGATGCACAGAGGCTGTAGGAGTTCTACATGCTGTATGCAGAAGCATTGTTTTGCTTCAAACGCTCAAGCTTTTTGATGATAGGAACCGTTTCGGCATATCTACTGGTATTCATGAGCAACATGCTCAGAACATCTAGAGTTTCTTCCAGTTCTGGGTTATCCGGACCGAACTCCCTCTCTTGGATGTCCACGACTCTGTACATCATATCAACAGCCTCCTCGTCTTGGTCGTGCTCGTGTAAGATAGATGCCAGAAAGCTGCATGCTTCAGCTGCATCACAGAAGCAGAACAGGTGTGTCATGGTGGCTGCAGCAATAAACGATCACATTTAATGATCTCGGAGAAACAGGAAAGCAACTCAAAAAGTAAAGAAAATAAAAACTCTCCTAAAACTTACCAACACTAATATGGTGTTTTCCGTAGGCTTTCTCCCTTATTCGAAGAGATTCACGAGCAAGAGGTTCTGCTTCTGACTGCCTGTCGGGCTGCGCGTGCAGAAGGGTGGCTAAGAGTTGCAAAACGACTGAAACTTGTGGCGCATCCGGGCCCAGATTTGCCAGTAATATTTTCAAGCTCTTCCTTAGCGCATTTTCAGACTTAATCCACTCTCCGTTCTCAGCATAGTGTTCTGCAAGCTTCTCCAGATGCTCAACCTGTTGAGACGAGTAATACTCCAGTAACTTTTTGTCCTTCAGGTCTGTTTTCCCCAGTATCTCATTCATCTCTTCAGTTCTGGCAATCACAAGATTGTTCTAGTCAGCGCAAGAACAACATTGGTCGACCATAGGACGCAATATCAAATCCATGTTAACAGCAAGCAGACCCAATAATCACCAACAACGTGATGATATAAACTCTGCACACACCTTCCTAGCACATTGAGAAGAGCTGCTAGGTCCATTCGAACGGTATCAAGGTTTTCGTCCTCTGCAAAATCTGGACAGCTCTCTATGGTTTGCAGACCCTTTTTGAACAAGTTTACAGCTGCATCGAATTCACCTGCAACATCCCAAGTAGTGCTGAGTCAAAGTGAAGGTGGATCTCTCATAAAGTGTGAAGATGTGTGGTTAGATAAAACCAGCGATATAAAGAATGACAAACGTAAACGACTTCGAATGAAATTGCACAATTTCAGTGCAAACAGGGCAGCATCCAAGTCTTATCTATCCTTCTGCACGCGCAGCCTGACATTCAGTTGGAAGCATCCTACGACAGTGGCTAATTCGCTGTTCGTAATAAGCGCTTAGAGAAGAGGAGGTGTGTCACACCTTTAGCACTTTTGACTTGAGCTAGGACGCATGCTGCCACTCCAGCCTTCCCGTCAGCAGCACCGAAGGACTTTTCAGTCAAGTTTAGAGCCCTAGACATAAGTAGGCACATTCCACCACAGTGACCGTTCAATTGCAATGCCAAGATCAGAAACTGAATGACGCTCTTCTGAATAGGAAGAAAGAAAAATGAATGAAAGAAAAAATTCTAAAGATCTATAACATATATTGGGTCTTTCAAGGCTTGAGCACCTTTGTATAGTCAATTCTGCTTCGTCAAGCTTTCCATCTTCAAGTAACGAGCTTCCAAGGTGCATTAGAGGAGCAGCCAAATCTTCATCGTCGGCCCCCAAAGCTTCCTCGGCATGGGCTAAAATTTGTTTGTACATATCAATACTCTGACTCGTCATGTTGAGCTCACTATACGTATTTGCAAGACCCAGCATGGTTCTCACGATCGACGGAACGTCATCTCCTGGACAACGATGATGTGGAAGATAAGAAAGTTAATTACGGCTTCTGTCACTTCAGTAATAGGACAAGAAAGACAATAAGTGCCAAAGTTTTAATCTCACTGGTCAGGGGCTACACGGTACTACCTTGCAGTTCCTTCTTGACGGCAAGACTTTTCTGAAAGAGAGGAAGGGCCTCTCTGGGTTTGCCTAGTTTCAAATACATGGACCCCAGATGCTCCAGTATGTTGCCAGCCACAGCTTCTCCTTCAGGAAGGTTGTCTAAAAGCTCCTTCGTCTGTAAGAGTCACCCAGTTAGTTGACACCAACAAATTTACTGACATTACGTCCCCCGTTCCCCGCGACAAGATGCAGGCCTACCTATGCCGGACTCTAGTCTCCAAACCAGTAGCCTTCAGCCTCAAATACTAGAAGAAATATAAACTATGACGTGATCCTCTCCACAAACAGTAGGAAAATTTGCCTATGAGTGGAGGACAGATAGTAACCTGCCGAAGGAGTTGTTCAGCTGCCTCAGTTTCTCCTAAACGTATGTAAAGATGGGATAAGATGTCCAGCATTGCAACCTGCTCCACTCCCATAACCCCATCCTCCAACTGCTCCAGCAAAGCTTCATAATTGCCCTCAACAAGTTCCCGAGCTGAATTCGCATCTCCGGTGTCTATCATCTTCTCGACCTCTTTAAATAGTTGCCTGAATTCCTGAACGTCCCCGAACATATCCATCAGCAGATCCTCTATGTCACCAACGCCCTCCTCCAGCTGCCGGACGATTTTGTCGGAAGCTGGGTTCCTGCAATTGCCAATCAAAACATTTGTAAACTCGCGACATCTCCTCTTTGGTCATAAAGTGTACCATGCACCAGTTCTGAAGACAGTCGCGTATGGCGAGGTCAATTTTCGAGCACGTACCTCATTTTGTCAAACAACTTTCCAACCACGTCATTGTCTTCAAGTCCAACAGCAGCGGCAAAGCGCTTCAGGAGTTCCTCTTCGGACTCCCCATCGTCAAAGTCTCCGTCCGGCCCTTCTTCCGACTCATTTTCTTCGATCACCTTGTAATCAATCACGCCAGAAGGTTTGTTGTACTCCCCGCTTATACCCCTGTACTCTCCTGTTTTGGGGTCGAGTATCTCCACTTCGTGCGTGTGTCGATCTGAATCTGCATCCCTGCATCCTTGTAAAATGGGCACTACTGGAAGTGAGCATGAGTCCATGAGTACGATGCATTCTGCCCAACACTACTCAATTCAGATTCGCCTCGCCCAAACGGAGTAAAATTCTCGCAGCAGCAGAAGCACTGGGCACAGTCAGGCAAACAATCAACTTCCTTACGTGGCATTGACAAGAATCCTTCTCCTTTCACTGCGACGGTGTGTCGCGCACGCACCGATAGAATTCTTCACAGCCAGTGCACAATTCAGATTCAAAATCACATTTCGGCTCCAGGACACCGACGGAGGAGGAAACCTCGAGGAACAGAACCTAGAGGGGCCACATGTAGCACTGCTAGATAATGCTCCTGCACTGACAGTTGCAGCAATTTGCTGCAACAACGAAGCCATCTCTGCACACTACTGCAAATATATCCTTCAGTCCTCGAGTACTCTAGATTCACATATACGTGGTCTTTGGCACCGGCAATGTGCTCTGGGCAGTAATCGACGGAACCAATTTCCCAACGCTGAGAATTTGTTTAGGAGACAGACGGCCTAACCGCCACGGTTCATGCGCCTCGAGTCTTACGGGGAAAGAGGAAAATTTTGTATCCTGCCGTAGCTTCAATTTCCATGGCCAAGGCCAAAGCTTCAAGCCCTGCGTGATCTGCCCATCGCCCCCGGTAGATAAACCCTAAACCCCAGGGCCCAGGCTCCAAAAGTGAAGCAGAGGATAGCACATCATTTACTCCATGGTCCAGGCCGCTGACGTGTTGCATGTACTGTACTCTTGCGACGGTGCTGTTCGATGATCTCTATACACACGAATACATCACAAATACAGCATGTCATTATCCACTCCAACATCTGTTGAGAACCCGATGACCCTTATCAAATTGAAGAGCACAACCTAGTCAACAAGTTGTGCTGGCACACCCTGCAAGTCATCACACCGTTAGCAATAGTAACATGATTCTTTGATCCTTATAATCCTAGATCCGTGAGTGTTATCACGGTATTTTACCATAGCAAAATAATTTATTATAACGTTATGAATAACTCTATTCGGTTGTCTAATTGATTATCGAACCACATGGGTCAAAACTTTGTTCATGTCAGTATTGTATTCACGTGTGAATTTGAAGACGCAGAGAACTGTGAACCCCGAGCTGAATTGTTGATAGATTGATATTGTGAATTGGGAAGTATTGATGCATCGTTGAGTCAGAATCTACATACATGCAGCTTTGCTGGAGCAAAATGTTGGATCAATTCTAGATGTACAAGAATAACCATTTTCATCAATAGAAAATTAAATGTGCATCAATTTTATATTTATTTATCTACATTGTATGTTTTTTTAACTGATTGATTTGCCAAGAGAAAATACAAGTCGTTATATTTATTACAAAAACTAGATTAACATCTTTGTATATTGTGATATTACAGATATATTTTCATCTTTAAGAAGTTAAAATAAAAATAAAAATGATTAAGATGAAATTATCAATGATTTTTAATCAACTATCTATAATTTTCAAATAACTGATTTGTGTATTTCATGATTATATATTGAATGTGTTAGTTGAGAATTACATTTCAACAAACCCTGTGACTATTAAGTATATCTTTCATGTTATTTAAAAAGAAACCAAGTTAAATGATGAAAGTCATTTCATATCTTTTTGTACATGTTTGAAGAATATACATATTATACAATATTTATTTTTTATTCTTTTTTATTTCTAGAGTTGTGTAACAATTTATGATATATTTTCTCCTTCTTCATTGTTAAAATATGAAACCAAATATCTCTCATTCACATCATTTAGTAAGATCTTGATATGTTTTAGCCTAAAGTTATAGCTATTTAGATATAAAGTATTTTTAGAAAGTTGGTCACAAAATTATTATATTTCTTTTCAAAAATTAGATTTGAATCAGTGCATATTCAATTTTTATAATTCATATTCATTTGCAATACGACTTGTCATACATTTCAAAACACTTACTTTAGTCAGATTGTCAAAGAAATACATGATAAAAATTATAGGATTTTGAAACAAGAGTTTAGATGTATTGGATTATCATGTGATATACAAATGTTTAACATGTGTTATCATGTGATTTGGTATGTGTATCACGTATTATCTAAGTAGAAGAAGATCATTTATATTTATATATATTACAATTGATGAATTTTATTCTATTGATACATATGATAATTGAATTATGATGCTTAAAAGAAGAATGTAATTCAATATATTATTAATTATATTAATTTATAATTCAATATCATAAATTTATCTACAAGTTAGGTTTTTAATAAAAAACAAATAAAACATCAATTATAAATCTAGATGTAATTTGCAAGACTTTGTTGAGTTTAACTTCGATTATAGAGTAATTTCATGTTTAGCTATTTATAATTGAGATAGATCGCATGTGTTGAGTATATAAATAAATAAATATACCTTAAAGGTTATGTGTTTCACGCAATGTTGTGCTTTCACCTCAGCAGTAAAGTATATCGTGTGCATTCTTCCGTGAACCACATTATACGCTAGTGTCTCTCGTGTTGATGGTTTGGTTGTTGGCTTGAATGCGTCACTGAGTTTCTCGGTGACTAATATTGTTTTTACACTGTTAACTCGCTTTTGAAATCACGCACATGTCACAAAAATTGGTTAGAGAATATGGGTAGACGTTAGTTGAAGGGACATAGGGTAAAATGAATCCTGTTGGATTTCAGCAAGTTCCAGAGTGTTTTAATCAAATGATTTTTTTCCTGAATTGATGATAACCTTTCATGATTATAAAGTGGAAAATATTAATCTAAAGAAAATTGTACTTCAAATAAATTAGGAAATGAACACTATAGGATTGCCTTCTGCACATGCTCGGTACACCCAAAATTCAACACCCCCACTTATTGTTGCTATCGATCGAATGGTACTGAGTTTGAATTATAATGTTCGTTAAAATATAAATTTCTCTCAGTATGTACTCCAATCCCCTTATATGAATCTCTGAATTTATTTTCATTATTTTAAGTTTAGCCTGTGAGTGGGAAGTAAAGAGACTATGGAATATCGTAATGTTTTATATCTATGTAACATGTAGATTGAAAGGAAAGATATATTATGTAAAATTATTTTGTTGATCAAATTAAAATTTTAGTGATAAAATTTTTGGCCGAGAAGTCATTGGATACAGATTTAATTATAATGAAAGAATATAAAGAAGAACAGTTGTGTTATTTTCACCGACCATTCTGAAGTGCTTGTCATACTTCTACTTCAATCCCTAATTCTTACACGTTCGAACACATGCCACGAAGATGAATTCGAGAATGTGGATCATTCCCTAATGATTGCATGGGAACTTTGAGTTTCACAAGCAGTATATTTTATTGTATTATGTTGTTAATGTTCACTACACTATCGACATACTGCATTCAATTAGGGAGCACACGTTTGGCACAGGATGTGTAAGAAGCGCGGAGAACAAAGTGTAAAGCGTACGAAATTAATGGACTGTGCAGGACAGCAGAGGATTTGATTGGTCAGCCGTGTGAGGGTAGAGTGGAAATCGAAGCACCTTCCGGAACTAGAGAAGGGACGCGAGGGGAAATTTGAAACTTGAAACTTGGTCTGCGGCACAGGAAGTGGGGAGACGAGGTGGAGATGCTTGAGCACGAATCTACGAGTGTGGCGCACTTTTGGCGCCAAACTTGGTTAAGGGATGAATGTGCTCAAATGTTGGCGCTGGCAATCCGAGCAGCTTATCGATCACCGCCTCAGTGGCGATGTGGGAGGAGGAAAGACGAATTTGGCGCGTATGGTGTAGATTGCATCGATTGGGGAAGAGGCGAGACGAATCGAGTCGACTGATAGAGGCAGAGACGCAGTGCGTAGGAGTTCGTCGAATGACTGCCGTTTCTGTGATTCGGGTTTGAATCTCGGACGGAAGTAGTGCAGGGATGGATCCTAGTGTTCTTACCATGTTGCGAGGTAGCCAGTGTGAGTCTGTCCCCTTCGAGCACGATTTGCAGGGTTTACATCTGAGTAAATCTCTGGTGCAGACGTGCACAACATTTCTGGCTTTCATGGTGGACACCCAAGATTATCTGAGTCAAATGAAGAACACGTATGTGAAGGAACTGTGGCCCAAAATTTGTGCCGAATTGATGGATTCCCGAAGCAGAGTGATCGAGCTCGAGAGGCAGCGTGCGGAAGAAAACAAGGAGAAAGAAGACAGTCAGCGATGTTTTATGCAAGAGCTCGAGAGGCTTCGTATGTCCAGAGAGGACGAAAGGAGTCGTCTGGTAGCAGAAATTGATCGCTTGCGACTTGTCAATGAGGACATGTGTGAAATAAGGACAAAGCTTCAGAGAGATTTCGAAGGAGAATCGCCGAAACTCTGTATAAAATTCGAGGTCTTGTGCAATGAACTTGAGAAGCAAAACGTGGTGCTGCAACAAAGAATTGAGGCGTCTGACAAGTCGAACATCGAGCTCATCTCTTGCAACGAAGACCTAAAGAAGGAACTTCAGAATCTGGCTGACGAAGTTGATCAACTGAAAAAATCTGCAGAACTCGCATCTCTGAAGAGGCAACTCCGACAAAAGCAACGGTTGCTGGACGAGGGCTCTGAGGATCGCTATCGAAGGGAAAGGCGATTATCTTTGAGTAAGCAGCGAACCTCTCAGACGAAATGCGGCAGTCTCCTCGGACCCTGGAAAGGAGAACAGGGGGTGGCAGGCGGCAGCAACTCTGACGAGCAGCTTAAGTGCAGCGAACATGTGATTCAATCTTTCCCCAACAAGCAAGACTCTAAAAATCGTAAGAGTGTCTCTTCCATACACAACTTTCTCTCCACTTGCCATTTGACGTCGTTCTGTTATCGCGGAATCTCGTTCTTCCTTCTTCTCTTGTCAGTTGCAATCAGCGTTTTAAAATCTGGAAAACCTGTTTAGTCAGAATCCTTACAGGCAATTGGAAATTTGCTTACACCGCAAGTTTTGCTTCAAAATGCGCATGTCTTATATGCTGATGAAGCAAACCGAAAGTAATTCTCCGTGCCCTACATTGTAACATCTGCCTCCTGTTTGAAGTAGTAATGTTCTTTTCCCCATTAACAATATTCCAACAATGGTTCTCTGGAACATGTAATATTTGTGAGGAACAAATTTGTCGACCAGTGTTTGAACGGTTCAGTTTCAGGTCATCGGCTTCTATCGTTAAGGTTACTCTCGCACAACAAACAATCCATGGGAAAAATGGACAAAGCAGTGTGACTGGGCTCTGCTGCTGTCGAGTTACCGAAAAGGAAACAACTGCCACTTTTACGATGGATACTGACACAACGTGGTGGATGGCTTGCAGAGGACACTGTTCTTTCAGTTGAGAAGTCTTTTGCCTCGGATTCGACTGGTTCAAGAGACTGTGCACCGGGAGATAATGTGGTCAATGCTGAAGCCAACGGAGCAGCCCAAGATCAGGTGCGACAAGTCTCAATCGATTCGGGTAACGAATCTGAAGAGATTCCTCACCGGCTGAAAAGCGAAAAGAATCTGGAGAGGGAAGCAGCTAGCCGCCAGCCTTCAACCGATGTAATTTCCGTCATTTCCAGAGCAGCTCAGTGTAATGCGAAGGATAGAAGACAGGGCAGCCTTGAGCCTGACAAGACTAGCAAGGGAGGGAGCCTGACACTTGCCGAGGGAAAGCAGCCGAGTATCTCTTCTCTTCCATTTGTAGCAGTTAAAGCCGAAGTGTCTGCAACACCCAGTGAACACCTGGAGCCGATTTCAGGGCCAGTGACAGATGCGAAACAGTCACACGCTTCACTTATGGGGCAACATGAAACTCTGGGGCAGGCAAGCGTGTTCAGGGCCAATGGACAACGGGGATCTTCGGCATGTTCCAAACAAAGCGTATCAGAAGGTAGGGGACTGAACCAGCGACCGGAACAGTCGGTGTGTCAAGTTAGCAAAAACTCTTTAGAACAAAGATCCGCTACCAGTACTCAAAAGGCGATGGGGATCAAATGCAAGGAGCGCAAGTGGAGGCAGACAAGGTCGCGAACTGAGGCAGGAGATGTCGAACTTCACGATAGTTTCTTAAATACACCGATGGAACTTGCTATAGCCAACCTCCAAGCTCGCGGGCAACGTAGCGCGATTTTGCATGAGGACACGCGGAGATCCACATCAACTAAAGCTCCCCGGAAAAATAAGCGAGCAACTTCTACCACATCGAGCACAAGTAGAGCACGCGAAGAAGCAGAGCTGGCAACTCCGTATGACTGGACTGATGGCTCCGAGTTTCAAGAGAAGCATTTCGTTTCCTCCAAATCTGCCGCAGCAAAGTCTGTTGGTGCAACCGAAGGAGCAGAAAATATGGAGAAGATGTCTCGGCAGTCCGGCGCACGCCCAGCCTCGTTAGACAAGGAAAAGCAGGTGCCAAATTCTAAGGCTCCCAAGTACAAATTCAATGAGCCAGTGCGCAAGAAAAGAGACAGGGAACAATTAGAAGCGACTGATTGCAATCAGTGTAGAAAATTCTACGACGCTGTGCTAGCTGAGGACGCGGAGGGTGTGTCCATGGATCGCTGCGAACATCACGATGCGGTCTCGCGTCACCGGTTCAAGTTTCTTCCACCTGGAACCCCAGCCGGGTTTTGGAATATAGGTTTTGACTCTGAGCTGTAAGAGACCACGCAGCACACTCCACACAGCTACAAGCTGCAAATGTACTCCTGTCTTGACGTACGTCTCGAGCATCTTTTGCTGCTCAGAATACATTCACATTCTCATACATTTTCCGGCCTCTTGGTCGAACGCGTCCTTGTGATGGGAATAACCACTCTGCCGACTTTGCCTACTGGAACCAGAGCTGACACTCATGGTTCTCTCGCAGAAAGACAGGGTCTCAACTTTACTAACACTAAGCATTCTTGTTACAACATGTGAGCAGATGCTCAGTTCCACTATGGGTCACGTGAACACGGAGCCGACTAAAGACTCCGCAACGATGAGTCGCATGACCAAATAATTGGCTAAAGACATCGATGGCCTGGTGGAGATGGAGCTCGGTCTCCAGCATCCTTGACAGTTCTCAGATAGTTCTACCACTTGAGAGTCTATAGTGCTTTTCCTCTCTTCCGGCACATGTCACAGTCTGAATACAAAACTCGCTAGTCGGGGCCGGGGATATGGTGTAGGACAGTTACGCCTGCGGATATATGCCACGGGCAGAAAGTGCAATCAAAGTCTAAGAAACGAGCAAAATTGCCGAGAACAAAAATGTTTTTCAATCACTCGAGGAGAGCGGAGGAGCAGTCAAGAAGCGGGCTGCAGGAACCGCCGCTCGTACAGCCCGGTCACTTGATCGGCGACAGCCCACATGATGGCCTGGCCGGGAGGAATCCTCATCAACCGTGGCAGAAGACCTTTCCACAAAGCTCTGGGGCCCTCCTCGACGGCAATTCGCTGGATGGCGTTCACCATGCCCGTGTAGCGAGTGCGTTCGTCGACTCCCGCCACGGCGTACCGAGTTTGCGCCATCAACCTGGTTTTGACCACGTCGAAAGGTCCTGTGGCCACGGGCCCAGCGGCTCCTGCGAGGAATCCCGAGATCATCGACTGCCACGGCAGAAGCGTCTGGCCATCGCCTTCTTTTTTCTTCCACAACACTCTGTCGCAGAAGTTTTTCGCCGTGAACATGACGGCCTGATTCGTCCCGTTGCGCATCACCGTCGGGGCAGCCCCTGCCCACAGGCCCAGCACGCCCTCTTCGCGAACGATGGACGTGGCGCAGTGCACGGGGCCCTTGTACCTGAGAAGATCAGCCGACAGGCCTCGTTGCTGCTGCAGTCGAATTTTCACCACCTGCAGGACAGTACACATCCATTCGCACACGAGTTCGAGAACTCCTTGTCACGAGACATTTCAAAGACCAGAGTTTCAACGCATCGACACGAAAGGCACGCCGCAAGCGAGAAATACGAGCTCTAAAGCCGAGGCCTGATACATGTGAGATTGTCCGCCGTGAGTACCTCGAAGGGAGTGACAATGACTAGCGCTTCCAGGACGCCCGCTCCGAATCCGGCCACCATACGACCTCCGTTGCTCAGATGTCCTGTTTTGGGATCGGTGAGGGCTGTTTGCAGAACGGCGTTGGTGCCCATTCGCAGAGTATATTTCAATGTCAAATGCGTTGCGAACGGAGTCAATCCTTTCCATAGCGCTCGCACTCCCTCCGACTGAATCGTGGTCGATCCGCAGTGCCAAATTCCCTTATACTGTTTGGCGTGATCCAGCTGAAGCCGCGTCTTGATCACGTCGATGGGTTGGAGGCAGCCGGCTTCCACGACGCCGCCCAGCGAGCCAGAGAGCGCTTTGAAATACGGAGGAATCGTTGTATCGCTGCGTTTGACGGGTTTCACTGACTGCTGCTGCTGCTGCGACGAGGCCGACGGTGGAGAATCCTGCACAGACGCAGCAGCGAGAGAAGCCATGCGGAAACGCTCGGGCCTCTCCTCTTCTCGATCTCCTCCTGGCCTTCCACAGAAATGAACAGAATTCGCTCCTCACCGCGACGCTCGCTCGAGTGCGCGAATTCCTCGGACTACGGTAGCAAGGCGGGTAACCCTAGAATTCTGCTCCCTCCGCGCGACGGGGTGCGCGGCAAGAAAGAAAACCGGGATGCCGCACAAGATGCAGCCGGAGGCGAAGAAAAAAGGGGCAATTCCTGTCAACTGCGTCGTTCCCTGCGCATGGGTGCGGATTCCCGGGTCCCCGACGACACAATTCGACGGAGTGACCACTGCAATGCTGCTGCACGAGGGTCACCCCGTCGCGTCTCTCCGAGAAGCAACCGCACAGGGGCGCATCAACGCGAAGATATGTGATCTTCCTCAACTGCTCTCGCAGCTCCCCTCCCCTAAAAAGGAGCTGCTTCTATTAAAATAGTGTTAACGCGCCCAAATGGGCCCAAATATAAAGTATGTAACTCTCCGGAGCAGGAGCTCACCAGAGTTGCAAACTCGATAACCAGGTGAAGTTGAAGCCGAAGCAGAAGCAGGAGCAGATGGAGATGGAGATGGAGCGTGAATTCTCGCCTTGCTGCTCTGCTGGCCGACCGGATGGCTTCGGACACAGAATTGTTGGTCAACAATCTCACAATTAAATGCGACTGCAATTCAAATGAATGTGAGGTTACTGATGTTTCTCCCCCAGGATACGGGAGTCGGCGGCCCACTCATGTCCTTGGGAAAGATATAAGGCTCCAAAAATAGTTGCCTGTCAACCACAACCACATGCACGCACCGTGGCCGACCTCCTGGGCGCCCTCAGAAACGATCTGCGAACACATCATTCTCCATCGCTCATCTTGCTGCACAAGATTTGGACAGTTCTATCGCCCTCGCCTTCCCTCCGGTTTGTCTCGCTGGGCTTGTCCAGGAGTCAGGACGTCCAGGGAAGTGGCCGGCTGGTTGACAGAACCTGGGTGACAATTGACGCTTCGTGGATTCGATACTTGGTCCGCATTCTCAGGAGCTCTTTGGCAAGCGCAGAACATGGTAATTCGAGCGCGGTAGCATGTGAGGGGCACGAATATGACCTCGCTCTGGCAGTTGGCCACAAGTCAAGCCCACGGTCGACAGATTCTCATGCCGAGTCGATCGATCCGATTTGTCATCCATCTGCTGCGAGCTTCAGCATCTGCCCTCGAGTCCATGAGAAAGTGTGTTGCATTACGGAGTCTTGTCATTCCCTAGTCCTCTCATAGGCCCATAGCTTCGGCCTTTCCACGTGCAGCCCGGCAGCCTGTCAGAGCCTGTACTGTCACCTGGGGCCACTGACAGGTGGCTCGCCGTCGCCTCGAGTCCTCTCGTCACACATGTCTGCGCGGGTCGTACGATGACGATGCTGCTCCAGCATCTGGTCGTTCCGGTTCCGGTTCCAGGTCCAGTGCCATGGCCATGACGTGAACTGCAGTGCAGTGTTGTCCGTGGCTCATCGACGGAGCTGGAGTTGCAGCACGAGGCGACATGGGCTTCTGATTCCAAGCCGACGACGGCGACGACAGATGCTCGACCGTCCAAGCTCGAGGTTCTGCAGAGGGCACCTTGTCCTGTGCTGGCCACTCGCCGGGGCCATTCGTTCGAGGACATTCCCGGGGCGACATTGGCGGACCGGATGTCTGATGTCCGTGTCGTTATTATCGACCTCCCAGAGCCCAACTTCGCGTCACTTGGGGCAAATCGCCACGCCTGTCACCTCTCATGATTTCCTTCGCGGCAGTCTGTCGGTCAGTCCGCTTGAGTTTCGAACGATTCGCTTCCCCACGGAAGCATGAGATGCTCCGTTGCCTGTTCTAACGACAAACGATTGAACAATCTCATGACCGATCAGGGGTTTCAAGTCCACGGACCACAGGGGACACAAAGTGGAAGATCAGAAAGAGACAAGTGGGAAAAACGTACCGAGCGTGGTCGTCTGTCTGAGAGATGGAAGACCTGGGCGAGGAGCTGCAGGAGTGACCACTGGCCAATGGAGCATTCAATTCGGCATGCGAAAACCGGAAGCCTGTGTGTGGCCTTGAGGCTGCTCTTCGTCTTGTACAGCAAAAGTCCAAGAGTTGGCGATGAACAAAATCATGACGGGTTGAATGATCGAGGTGTGACGGCCATTGGGCGAGCGCATGGCCAAAGGACTTTCAGATCCCCCGAGCTTCGATTCGGCACTGCGCATCATCAGCGGGAGTCCGAGTGGACCAGATTCAGACGTGGGGAAAGGCGTGCCAAGGTCGAGAATCATTCACTCGGAGATGAGAGAGAGTTTTGAGCGAGCGGGCGGGCGGGCGGGGAGCCGAGGGGACGGACAAATTGCACATCTGACGTGAATATGGACAATCTCGATTGATATTTTTCCGTCAAATCTACATCCTCTCTATCAGTATTTTCGACTAAACGATTCCTGAAGTGCCAGCTCGCGTGGTCTGCGTCGTAGACTATGCACCTCTATGTGCAGGGCGAACATCTCGTATCCCCTCATTGTAGATATGGTAAACAAAGCGCGTACACACTAAATCCAAGTTCAATTGCGAGAAATGTCGGGGAACAAATATGTATACGGTTCATGACGAGCATAGTTTAAAGTACGAAGATGGATCATGGTTCTTCGAGCAAGCAAATCCGTTCGAGGCTTGATAGACTAAACTACTAGCATACTGCGTGTTCACTTAAAGAATCGAGACTGCGCTACATCTCGCCAACTACTCAGGTTGCCGCCAGCATCCTCCATCGCCGTTTCCATCGTCGTGTCCGTTCAGAGATGACTACCTATCGCTATAAGCTCACCGCAGTCGATCCTACAAACGTCGACGCGCGCCGGGGATTCGGCAGAGCTCGAGACTCCGAACCGACCGGGTGCAAAAAGACTACGTCGCTGTCGCTGTCGCGGCGCCGCGGGCGCTAGGCCGAGAGCGGGATGTACTTGAGGTTGCGGAAGGCGTGGCCGGGCGCCAGGTTGCCGCGCCAGACGTCGGCGCAGCCCTTGCCCTGGCCGAAGGGCGAGCCGTCGTTGCACTGGCCCACGACGAAGAGCGTCTTGCCGAAGGGCCCGCCGAACTCGAGGTTGGTGGCGGCGACGATGCTGGCGAGGTTGATGCGCAGCAGGAGCTTGCCCTGCGGCGAGAACTTGAGCACCTGCCCATTGCCATTGCGCGTGACGAAGAGGTTGCCGTGCACGTCGCAGCGCATGCCGTCGGCGTCCACGGCGCCGCTGCCGTCGAGCTTCTGGAAGTCGACGAAGAGGCGCTTGCTCGCCACGAGGCCGCTCTTGGGGTCGATGGCGAACTGCCAGATCTTGTTGGACACGACGACCGAGTCCTTGTTGAAGGCCTCGCTCAGATACAGCGTGCGCTCGTCGGGCGACACCTCGATGCCATTGGTGCGCCCGAACACGCCCAGCCGCACCGCCTTCACGGGGCGCGTGATGCGCGAGCGCTGCGCGTCGAAGAACGAGGCCGGCGCCGCGCACATCCACAGGTCGCCGTCGCCCACGCGCGTCGTGGCCGTGTAGTTCTGCCCGCTCGTGTAGATGCGCCCGGCCCTGTAGGCCACGGCCAGGTCGTTGGGCTCGACCATGGCCGGGTCCGCGCAGAACACTCGGCTGCTGGGCTTGGCGCCGTCCCGGCTCTGCTCGATCTGCAGCACGCGATGGTTGCTCGTGTCCGCGGCCAGCGCGCGGCGGCTCCGGCCCGCCGAGGGCAGAAACCGCAGCCCATTGAAGGTGGCTTTGGCGTCCTCGAAGAATTCCTCCTGGTCCAGGTCGTAGAACCCGTCCGCGATCTGGCCCAGCGCCGAGCGCGAGCTCTGGCCGTCCTCGGCGAAATCCGTGGCGTAGATGTTCCCGAACTTGTCCACGGACGCGGCTTCGATCCGAGGCCCGAACTGCGTCGTTTTCAAGGTGAGGAACGGCTTCGCGCTGGCCACCTCGACCGACGGCGTCACAAATCCTCCGGCTGCGATCGTCGGCTCCGCCACCGCCATGCAAATCTGGAGCGATAATATGAACAGCACTACATTCCTGACCGTGACCATCCCGTTCAGCACGGCTGCGAGCAGAACCAGATTCGGCAGACAGATGATTTTCTTCAGCACGGTTGCAGCTGCCGGCAGCGGCCAGGGCATGTGTAGATTAGACATAAATGCCATCGACATGATTGCTTCTTATGGCCACTTCTCGGTGTTTTCCAAATCCCGAAGCTATATGAGCTCTGTATGAGCTCTCTATACCTGTCACCGCTATGATCTAAGATCGCTGATCTACGTACCTGCTTCTACACTACTTGTGGCCACTTCTCGGTGTTTTCGAAATCCCGAAGCTTTATGAGCTCTCTATGAGCTCATAAAGCTCTATACCTGTCACCGCTATGAGGAAAGATCGCTGATCTACGTACCTGCTTCTAAACTGCTTCTGAATGCAACGTTTGGTGTGAGAAAGAAATCCGCGATGTCCTGTTTTATTGCTGCGAGAAGCGAGATTTCGGGGTGAGATGGGATGGGGGTCCCATCGATGCTTGTGCTATCTGTACAGCAATGTCCTTCGACGCTGTGCGCTCTAATACCCTCGCCGGGCGACTCGGGTGCAGTCCGAGCTACACGGACCAGGGGAGGCAATGCGAGGCAGGGCCCACTGCAATTCCATCACCTGCAGCTCCTACCCCACATTCCAGTGCTGCTCGCGCTCGTTCCTCGTCGGTCGTGCCCTGGCCAGGCGCACTGTCGTTTGGCACTCTCGGCTTGTTGCTCATGCGTGCAAGCGCCGATGAGTGCCTCTGTGCATTACGCTACGCGGGTGCAGATACAGAAAGAAAGTCTGGCGATCGTGCTCAGCGATGGGATGAATCCATTTGTATCGTCTTGACTTTCCTCCCGGACCCTGGTAATGGGATGGAGACGCCGAGCTGGCTGCAGACGCTCGGCGACGGATCTGAAACTGCAATGGCAGCGGGCTCACAGTGATGTCAAGTAGGGTCTGTGGATTCAGAGACCTCCATCGCTGGTGGCGTTGCCTTCAACTGCAACTGCGTAAGAGTGCAGTTTGACTTTGTGCCAGGACTCTGAGTCGAGTTCGAGAGTCAATCACTCCATCCACAACTCCGTCAAACTAGATAACAGCCCTTGTTGCCCTCCCGTTCCACTTTATGAGTTGTGATCCCTGACCCGTTCAATGACGGCTGCCTCCTACGATACTACGAAAATAGAACAATATATTCTTCTGAACGTCGACGAGATTCTGGCATAGAGGCTTACGCTCAGAGAGTGGTATGAGCCTTGAGGGCGGCGCACTTTTGGAGTGAGGACCAGTGAGGGCACAGTCTAGGGAGACTTTGTCAACGAACGTCGAAACCTGCCTTGCAATTCTGATGAAGTCCGCCAGCCTTCATGTCAGTTGCCGGTGGTCAAAACCCGAAAGCATGCCCGGCCTGTGGAGCCAGAGGCTGGTTATCCTCATGCCCCAAGCTCCGAGGCTCCAATCATCTAGTCCGTGGGCATTCAGATGACTCGAGTCTTCGACGAGCCGGGACCCGTGGCACGCAGCAGTATCAGGCATTCCTCTACAGAAACTCAAGAGAAGACGGGCGTGCCTTGTGTTGCCAATACATATTCTACAGGATGGAGAGTGTACTATGTACGGATCTGGATCTCCTGTTCTCTCAAGACAAAAATCAAATGTTCTCATCGTACAGTTGGGCTCAAAGTTTTAGAATAGGGAGGTAAATGAATGCACGAAGATTATAACTTGATCGACTTGCAGGACCTGGAGATGGAGGAACCGTCAGTCTCGTCGGACAGGAGAGCGATTTACAACATGATTCCTCCCGTATATCAAGGAATTCTGCAAGTCCGATGACTTCTCCACTGTATTCTTATTCTTAGTTTCTGGGCTTGACACCGCGAGTTGTCGATCAACTTGGTCCAGTTATGACGAAGCACTAGACACAAGTCCAATGGAGACCTTGTGTCGGTAGCGAGTCAGTCCTACAGCGCACTCACTGGCCACACGAGCAAAGCGAGGGGAGGCTGCGAATTTCCGCAGGGAGCTGTCATCGACTGTGAATAGCGAAAGTCGTTGTCTTTCTTAAGCTTTTCTGGCCATTGACATAAATATCGGATGGATGTAAACACCGGTTTCATTTTATAGGAGTTCTTTATTATGGCTCACAAGTGGCAATCTCGAAAGAAACTTGAGGGAATCAGGCGCAGGTCCCCATAGGCAGGCTCTTGCCCATGATTCGGATCCTGATGCTGATGCATTGGACCTAATGCTCTCTGTCTTCAATCTATCTGATTCGAGCTTCGCGAGGCGCATCACCGGCGCAACGTTCTTTTTCCTTTCGAAACTCCGGAGGCAAGAACAGTGGACGTGGGGTCTGGAAAAAGCTCAAAGTCGCCAGTTTAAACTGCAATCGGGCACCCTGATGGCCGCTTTACTGCACAAAAGGATGAAGATTGTGACGTCCATCATCACATAATCATTATGTGATTATGTCATAATGTCGACTCGTATGAACCCGTAATGCCTGCGTGGACAACGTGAAAACATTACTCCGTGGCCGGAGTTGCTTCTCGGGCGAAATGGTAATTGTTCGGATCAAATTAGATAATTACAAGTATAATCATTTGTACTATATATATTGGTAAATACATCAAGCCCGGGAGACCCAAAGGGTCAAAAGTCTCAGAAAAAAAAAACACAATACAAACAATCAAATTTAACGTTAGACAAAACCAAAAGAACCACTAGCTAGTGTCCAAAACAATACAAACAATCAAACTTAACGTTAGACAAAACCAAAAGAACCACTAGCTAGTGTCCAAAACACTAAATCGGTAACTAATAGCATCTCTAATGTAACAACCTAAATTATAAGTCTCAAATTGAATCAAATAATAAAAATTCTCAACAACTTTATGAACCATTCTAATCTCTACATATCTAATACAAGTAAGAAATACATGCTCTTCATCCTTAACTTTCTTTCATCACATAACCTACAAATATGTTCACTCCTATCAATGTTCAACCAACGCACTTCTTCAATCCCAAGACTATGAAATCGTGTTTTATGCCTAGCAATAATATAACGTACAGAAGTAGAGATCTTCGCAAGTAAATATACTTGCTCACATTAAACAAGCATAGGATTCACATGAAGTTGATAAAACTCCATTTTAGTGCGTTGTCTGCTCCAAATAATGCTGAGAAATTCCTCCTTGATACGCTCGCGTTGAGCAATAGATCGCAAATCCCAATCCAGTTCCGTCACATTCCACCTCTAAGACCAAGTCACCACATCTGCAAACCACCCCTTGGAATGTGTAGCACGCAAAGCTTCAAGAGTAAGTCGAGAAACATCAAGAGATCTCACTCTTTGGATGTAAGTGATAGTAAAATAGAGAGCTTCAGCCTTAAGAGGTAGAAAACATGTTGCGGCAAGAAGAATAACATATGAAATTTGGGTACTCACACCCAATTCTTCTGGTAAGAAAATCTTTTGCAGCCTCTCCAAACGCTGCCAACCTGTCTTCTTACAACTAGGACCCCACATTTGTATTCCATATAAAATAACGGGAAACACTAAGCTCATGAATATGAATTTCCTAAGACTCCAAGACATTAGATGAGCTCCTCTACATCTATTTAGCAATGAATATAGAGCTTTGAAACCAACTTCTATACTCTTTTGCACACAAAGTGTCCAACTATAATTAGAGTAGAAATCAATGACTAACTTTTAAAACTCTTCACTTGTTCCACTTCTAATCCTTTGTAAAAGAAAGAAAGCTTGGATCTAGTGCCCATAGAATGATTTTGAACTTCTCCAAATCGACCTTCATTTGATTTTGACTACAAAAGCTAGCCAAAGTGTCAAGGTGTTTTTGTAAACTAATGGCATCACGTGCTAGTTATATGACATCATCTGCATACAAAAGAGCTTTGATGACAAAACCTCCAAGTTTGACACCTTCAATGTCACAATCCTCTAACCATCTTTCTATATTATCTATGAAAACTCCAAAGAGAGTAGGAGAGAGAGTACAACCTTCAATGACTTCAATGGTACTTAAAATCTCTTCGGTTTGAGAAGTGTTGATCTTAGCCCCAACGGAGTGGTATAATGTGACCACCGCTGCCAAGAGATCTGATGGTACTCCTATGGTTTGCAATCTTTGACATAAAAGCTCACGAGGTACTGTGTCAAAATCTTTCTTGAAATCAATGAAGGCATAAAACAAAGCTTTTCCATTACCCTTGGATTTCTACCATAAAACACGCAAAACCAAGATATGGACTATAGTGTTGAATGTAGGACAAAAACCAGCTTGGAATCGCGCTCTCTTTTGACAAGATTCAGCCCACGTGCTCAACTTTGATTCCATCAATTTGCAAAATAACTTGCCAAAAATACTACCCACCATGATAGTCCGATAGTTTGTCACCAAGGCCTTGCTCCCAGATTTGTGAATAGGAATAGTCTTCCGTATAGATCAAGTTGAAGGAAAGCCAAAGATAGCAGCATTCTCTAACACTTTAGTATGTATAGACCCAATAGCATCTATTCCCCACTTGAGAAGTTCAATGGGAAGACCATCCAAATCCTCACATTTTCCATTTTCCATTTGAGTTGAGTCATTACTTTAGTGTAACACTAGGGTTTAGAGAGAAGCTCACTCGAAGATAGAAACGTAAACTCTGAAGATAAGAGATACCAACAATGGTTCTCCTCTCCCTTATATAGCTCTCACCAACAAGTACAAAGAGATAAGATCTAATCCCCACCATCCATCCCACTCCTAGTGGATGGATGACGTGGCGGATAACCCTAACAAGCACACGGATCGTTGACGTGGCGCACCCAACTAACACACTCAATCCTTACCTACAAGCACACGGATTGCTGACGTGGCACTGTCAACTAACACATCCACTGTGTACCTACCAAGTGCGCGGATCGCTGAAGTGGCAGCTAGCTCTAGTGCACACTAAAGTATCTACATCAATATTTAGAGTAACCTTTACTTTAGTTCTAACTAACTAAAGATGGTTACAAACCTCCCTCCTTTTAAGATGCAACGTCCTCGTTACACATACGTTCAAACTCCTGAACTATCAAAGGTGCATTTGCTAAATTTTTTGCTGGTTCCCAAGTTGATTCATACGATGGATAGCCTTTCCATTGAATCAAATACTCTACTTTGGGATATTTATGACCTCGAATACGTTTCTTGAGTATCTTTTCTACCTCAAACTCCTCATGATCTGCTATCAAGATTGGAAGAGGAGGTGGTGCTGGTTGGTTGGTGAATTGTTTTGGTCGTGGTACATGTTTTCGCAATCGTGACACATGATCGCAATCGTGATACTGGATGTATTTTCATATGTGACGGAAGTTCCAACTTGTATGACACTTCACCAACACGCTTCAAAACCAAAAATGGACCAATGAACCTAGGGTTTAACTTTGGTGTTCCTACAAGAGACAAATTCGTTGTAGATAACCAAACATGATCTCCAACCTCAAAAATCACTTCTCTATGATGAGCATCGGCATGCTGCTTTTGCCGATTTTGAGCTATCACCAACTTCTCCTTGGCCTGATGTAGTCCTCGGTGAATATGCTCCACAAATTCGTTGACTGCTGCAACTTTGGTCGAAAACTCCTCTTCTTTGGGAAGTCTCATCAAACTTGAAGGAGTTATAGGATGAGCTCCATACATAAGA